ACCAGCTAAATTAACAGTTTCACAAACTAATCCTTTCCACCCATAACTTTAGGTCAATCCCCTTCTCGTAGAAATATTTCTTCAGAATTAATGGCCTCTGTTTTAAGATTCAGAACCACTTCTGTCAGCATTTCACACATCAAATTAACTTAGGAAGCTTTTTCAGCCTGGTTATGTCAAAAATATTTGAAGTAATTTCATTTTTGGAGGCAGGCTCTGGAGTAGGAGGTGGTGCTTTACAACCTCAGAATGTTTCAGAGTTGAATAGTTCAGAATCAGAAGAAGTTCTTTTTGATTTCCTGGCCATAGTTAGTCCATGTTGACCTTCAGAAATTGCAGGATGTTGTGGAGCTAGGCAGCACTTTCCTAGGTACTGCTGGGTAGCCATGGATAAATTATTCCTTGTATAGTCCATGGGAGATCTAGAAATTTATATCATTGTCAAAAGTAACAGCTCTGTGGCGGCTGTGGCTTTTTCCACAACTGTTGATTTGTTGAAGCTCATGCCGTTGATCGTCAGTGAGGTATTTGAAGTCTGCTTCACTAAAAACTTCATCGAGAGTGTCATCGACTGACAGTGAAAAGTAGCTAATGTGTGGTTGATCTGGTATGTTGCTCAGTGATGCTGATCTGTGATATGGCCATTGTTTGGGGAGAGAGCTTACATGGTTCCTGATGATACAAAAGAGGACAAACCATTATCCTTCTACTATGTTGCTGTGTACACTCAAAAACCTAAATGTGCCACAACTGCAGGAAGCAGGATTTTCATAAAGAAACAAAGAAGCAGAATAGTTGCGTAAAGTGACTGGAAAATATTCCCCACCTCTGAATAAAAGTACATTTGAGGTCATTAAAATTAAGTCAGAGAATTCTGCAGATTAGCTGGAAAATTATCATTTCTCTATTGCTCAATGATCTTTCTTGTGAAATTTACTTAGTTTGAAGAGTGCAAAGTGACCACGCCCATAGGATGGGGTACCTGTCCGTTTACAGCTACTCCCTCTTGCCCCTACTCTACTCTACCCTCCAGGTTTCTTGTTGCCATTTTATGAAGTTTTTATTGTTTTCTGGTGTTAATTTATGCAGACTACAAAAAAGAGTTTGCGATGGCATGGTCTTTATTGTGGTGGCTTCTACCATGGTGACTGCAAGAGGGGTAACTAACAAAATTTGCAGGGGGAAAACTTAGGACAAACTGAAATGGCACAAGGCTGAGCTCTCAAAAAAATTGAAGGGAGCCCAGTGCTCTGAAATTGTAAAATCCAAGGAGCCCAGCACTAATGAAAAAAAAAACCTCCTTGTTGCCCAAGAGCAAAAGCAAGGTGCCAGGGGTCACCAGGTGCTACAAGAGCCCAGCCCTGCAGGTCCAAAATTGGAAAAAGAAATTTATTTTCTCTC